TATATAAAAAGAAAGATTTTTCACAAGTGAAAAACATTCAAGACAATTTGCAGCCTTCCCAGCAGTGGTGTTCCAGCAAATTCACCCTAACGTCAGGCCTTACAATGCTCAGAGCAACTACATCTCACATTCTACAGGCCTTACTTAGTATGGTAAATGTTAAAGTTCATGACTGTGCAGTTAGAAAAAGACTGAACGAGTCTGACTTGTTTAAAAGGGTTGCCATGACAAAGCTTCTTTTGTCTAAAAAAGGACATGACAGCATGACCTAGGTTCACAGAGTTGCATAAGAAAAAAACAACGAGACTTCTGGAATAATTTCCCTCCTATAGAGGTGACCAACTTGGAGAGGTTTTTCCTACATGCACCGCAGAAATGTTGGTGAACCCAAACACAGCGTGTCAGCACAAAAACCTCATACTAAATATCAGCACGGTGGTGGAGGAATGATGATTTGGGCTTATTCTCCAGCCTCAGGATCTAGGCACTTTGCAGTTGACCATAAACTCCTCAGTATACAAAAATATTCTAGAGTCAAATGTTTGGTCATGTGTCTGACAGCTCAATTCCAACAACACCATGAGCCAGTCAAAGCTCGCAAACCTCAATGAATGAAGCAACGTTGTGTAGAAGAGTGGGCCAAAAATCCTGCACAATAATGTGAGACACTGACAAAGTCATACAGAAAACAATTACTACATGTAATCGCTGCCAAAAATGGTTTTACAAGCCACTAAACAACTGGGTGCACTTAGTTTTTGTGTCTTTGGGCTTGTTGGATGGATGGAAATAATGACACAGTGTGTGACATGTGTTCACCTGAAGTTGCATTTGTCTAACTGTTAGACCTGGTAATGGATGGATCATTTTTCATTATGTTCTGATATATAAAACCACAAAAATGACAGAAGCTGCATTTTATTTTTAACCATGACTGTATAACACAGAAATACTTCAAATTTAAAACTTTGCAGTGATAGCTGTTTTGTTTAAAACACTTAAGCTTCATTTGTGGTATGAGTACTGCTGTATAGAGAACAAACAGGAACACTAGTAGCTTCAACACAAGCACTGTAGGTATGCAGATTTTACAGTCATGTGACCTGATTAACCTCAATCCTATCAAACTGGGTACACTGTCAAACCCGCATTTCACGTGTTCTTTATACTACCCTAAAATCAAAAACATACCTATAATTTGCGAGTTTGGGACCTATTCAGTTCAATCGGTATCACACAGTATATCAATATGCAAGGTACACCAAGTTCTCGAAGAATGCTTGATTTAAAATAAAAATGACAACTGAAGTTTAAATGGCTGGATTTATGCCAGTTATTTTATATATGGAGCCAAACAACCAAACAGTCCTGTTTTACCTTCCCACTGTAAGGATCGGGCATCTGGGTTTTACATGAATACATCCAAACATAGTCAGTATCAGTATCAATCAATCTCGGACTGTAAGAGCATGAATTAGGACAGGTAGAAACATTTACAGCAGAGCTATGATGGCCTCTGGTGGTGCAGCGGAGAAGTATCATTGATGACTTCCGGTTGTTTAAAGCTTCCAGGTTTCCCGGCTGCTCTAGTGCCTGCTGTTTTCATACTGCCATTCGTCTGCACATCAGAGAACATGCACTGACTCAGAAACCAATTAGATCAATGTTCTGCTCATCCACAAACCCTTCCTGGTCGCCGGGCAGACTTTAAGTTTGACTGTAAACAGATCTTATACTTTTCTTAATACTGAGCGAGCTTTAGTGCGATTTTATATTCTATTTGGATCTGTCCCTACATAACCCTAAACTGAGAGATTCTCTTTTACCTAAGCCATGTACGTAAGACTCAATGGTGCAAGCTTATTTCATAGAGTTACTTTAATTAAATTCACTACGGCTGTCAGTGATGGTCTGAAGAGGCGTATTCACAGAAGGATGCACAGACCTCTGCAGGCTAGGCACCAGCACCCTGTCTGCCATTAGGTTTCAGGATGAAATCCTTTGATTGTCATAAAAACTTCTGAGTATCATTTGGTTTTGGTTGTTTGACTTTATGTAATGATTTGGTATCCTTTCATTACTAACACATTACCCGGTCCATATCTGCATAGATATCCAGCATGCTTTTCTTTTTAACCACTGAGATCTGATGTGTTTTCAAAGTGTTTCTTAAACGTTTTTAAGCAGTATATAAACTATACAAACCTTTTGGAGGAAGAAAAAAGAAAACCTTTATTATTTATATTTTTATTCAAATGAAGAGCAACAAAATGATAAAAGCATCTACAGCATTTCATTAATGTGCAACAAAAACAAAGACAGTCTGACTGGCTTTACTGCACATGTGGTCCTCTACAGTAGCCCTATCATCACATACTATGATTGCCAGGACTCTGACAGAAAATGAGACATGAAAATCAAACTCTCCGGCTAATGTAACAAGATAGTAAGGCCTTTCTAGTAAGGTAAGGAAAATGAGCCAAAATCATCAGGAGGATAAAAATGCAAGGATTCCAAAATATTTCTGTAAAGTCATTATAGATATAATGGAATAAATAAAGGGGGAAACTTTACTGGTAAAGTGTAACCAAATCGGTACCATCTCAGTTCTTCACAGTGCCGTACACCATTTCTCACCGAAATAAAAAAAAGGCCACCATTACCAGCAACTGTGCACAGATGCCTTTGTAACAACAGTCTGTACTACTGTTTTGGACATTGGGGGTTTTTTTGTGTTTTTGTTTTTGTGTGTTTGTTTTTTTTTTTTTTTTACATCAATGGAACAAACAATATTATGACCACCAAAAAAAAGAGATGCAGGCCTCCTGAATGTAATGATGATCACATTTCACCTGCCAATCATGGCAAGCAATAGAGTGAATAAGTACCGCTTTGGCTGAGGGTACAGCTGTACTTAAATAACATCTTGTTGCAAAACTGGAGGAGCTATCTCAAGACAATAAATAGTGAACATACAGAGGTGGTTAACACTGGACCAACTTTAAACATTCCTATTTTTGGCTGACAAGTAACAGCTTACTGAGCAAACTATCAACATGGATTGTTCTTCTGTATACTTTGGATACTTAAATATGCACATTAGCCCTTAAAACACAACATTCATGAGCAAATGACCTCCAGGTGTTGTCTCAAATTCAAGTGTAACAAAAGCAATGCCCTAAACATGAGCAAATACTCAGGTTGTCTAAATCAAGGACAGTAATTTAACCAAGACTCCTGATCAGGCAGATGTGTACAGTTCCACACACGCGCACACACACACGCACGCACGCACCTCAAGCACCACAACACAACACACACACTCACACACACACACACACACTCACAACACAACATCACACACACACACACACAGACACACACACACACACACTCACTCACACACACACACACACACACACACACGAAAGCTAGGCGAGGGAAAAGTTGAGCATATTTACACTATAATTACAACTTTACAAGCGGAAAAAACAAAGAGTGAGTCTGTAAAGTGACTTCATTGCAGGCAAGTGATCCAAATTTAAAAAGAAAAAAAAAATTGTTGATTAAAGCTTGGCTGGGATTAAAGTTTGGGGGAGAGATAGAAAGGAAGGAAGAAATGAATGTTTAGCTCCAGTGTGCACTGCCTGCTCTCACCTAAGACACAATGGCTATCATTTTAAACCTGCACTATTTTTTGTACATCATCTACAGTACACAGTGGGATATTTTTTCAGTACATTCATTCAATACCAACACACTGGCATCTACTCATCAACGAACAAATCTTGTAGCCCAACCATGACTAGTATAGCAAACACTTGGGATCGCATGAATAATTAGTACAGGCTGACAGGTAGATATTCTTCCAACAAAAAGACACGTGGTTACTTTAACTCTAAGGATAATCCTATCTATCAAGTAACATTAATTTAAATTCATCATTGCTGGGAAATCCCTGACAGCTGCATCTTCACATACACAGTAATATTGACATTAATCATACTATTGAGTTTATTTTAAAGTGGCCGTTTTACAGCTCACGATGAAAGGTGCCTGAGAGGTGGTTGGGCCAAAGGAGTGTGGGTGAAAGCATGATTGTCTGCTCAGGCGTGAGGTTTAGATGAGAACTGCGGAAGAGGTTTGGTCAACAGCATAAAACATGAGGAGTGTGTATTGCATCTGACGACCCCCTGTCACAATCACACACACACAATCAGATCCACCCTGAGCTATCATGTACAACTTACAGGACCAATCTCAAAAATTAAAACAACCTGTCCAACCAGCTAGAGCACAACCACTGATTAGCGCTCTGGTCTGGATGAGGGGAGGTAAAGGACACAGTCCTAAGATAGTGCAAATACTGTTGTTGTCTCAAAGAAACAGCCCAGTTGCTTGTTACTGGGGTGGAGACTTGTTGGAGCATCCGTGTTACAGCCATTTTTGGAGTGTAGGCAGGTTCCTGTCCATCCAGCGCTTATTCAGCTTTATGGTTTCCAAAGCTTCCTGCACGCTCCTCATCTGAGAGCCACGCTCCTTCAGACCAGAGAAGAAAGCCTGCACCTATAAGACATCAAAACACACAAGCTCAGCTTACGAAACAAGTACACTGAGAGTCAAACAAATGCATTCTCATAAGAAATGACTTAAGGACATACTTTATTAAGTTGTGCCTGTGTGGAGGACTGGGAGGTAACAGATTTGATGATTGTCTGGATGGCAAAGGAGCCAATAGGGAACCTGCAGCCCAAAAGACAAAATCGTTGAATTTTCAGGTGAAATTATCTCAAAATGCTTTACAAAGGGAAACTCTGAGACTAACTTACTTCTCTATGAGGCGGTCCCAGTTCTCTTGTATGAAGTCCCAGGCAAACAAACAACCAGCAAAGCTCTGACACATAGTGCTGATAACCAAAGGCAACTCCTGAGTCTGAATGAGACGTCCACTCAGGCCAAACGACAGAATCCTAGAAAGAAACCAAACGTGTCAAAAGGACCCTGATTGTAACCACACAGCGTGGGGATCAAACAATCTTTAGTATAAAGAAGTACATTTTGAAAGCTTTAAGTTGAGATAGAGGAGAATTTTAAAAAACTGAAGCCATAAACCAAAGTGTAATGCTCTTTGCCGCTCTCCCTTAAAAATGTGCCAGAAAACAGTATTACTTCAAAATAACTGGGAAGTCTGTGGTCATTACAATTCCCAGATCAATGTGAAAACGCACAAAATCTTCATTTGCTGACTTCTTGTTGAAATCTAGAAACATTTTTTATACTTTCACTCCTGTATACTAATGCTGGTATCATCACAAAAGGCTTAACAATACATCCTATTGAAAATTCAGGGGAGTTAATGACTTTACTGTAAAGCCATCCAGTGGGTCGAATTGGACCCTTTGGTGTTTGACACACATTTGACACCACTGCCGTACATCTCAAAGGTTTATAACTATTATATTAACAGGTTTTAAAACAAATAACTTCTAATATACAAATCTCAACCTTTTAATAACAACATTTTCACGACTTGTTAAATATCCATGATAAATAAATGCAGATGTACAGAGAGACAGGGCAGTGTCTAGCAGATGCTGCGATTCACCAGTCACATCAATCTATGATCTATGTCCCTGCTCTCACTTATGATCACAAGCTCTGAGTAGTGACCAAAAGAATAAGACCGATGCAAGCAGCAGAAATGATCTTTCTTTGAAGGCTGTCTGGGCTCTTCCATGGAGACAGGACTCAGTGTAGAGCTGCTACAGCAGAGGTGACTAGGATCCCTTCTGGGCCCCTTTTGGATGAGATGTTTTGTGCCTGTCCTACCAGTAAGAGCCCCTGGGGCAGACCAAGGACATGCTGGAGAGATTACATCCGGGAGCAACTGAGTTTACACCAGAAGAGCTGGTGGAGCAAGGTCTGTGCTTCTCTGCGTAGGCTGCTGTTTATTCACACCCGCATGGATGGAAATAAATGGATGGACTTACTGAAAAAGACATCAGCTACATTCTAACATAATCTAGCATCCCCAAAATACAGTCTAATCAACTTATTGAAGATCAGTTTGTTTAGATGTGTGTGGCACCATTATACATTACAGTATAATGATGCCCCAAACGCAGAACAAGTTTGAAGTAATTTAATAACAGTTTTCCACCTGCTGAGTCAGTAAACATCAAGATTGCTTATGCCAGAAACAAAAAACAAACTATAAATACTTCGCAGGGTCAGTAACAATTTTTACATGTAAACTACAGTAATATAACTACAGCACTGACAAGGTGAGTCACTGTGAGACCTTGAGTATGTCAAACTTTTGCTCTGGTGGAATCAAGTGAAGTCATTTTAATGGCATCGCAGGACTTTGAGTTGCAGATGAAATTAATGGGCGGGGAAACGGACTTTGTTAAAATAGCACATAATTAACAAATGCAAAAACAAAAAAAAACTTACTGTACTAAACGTTGTGGGTTCTGAGTGGATGCTAGTCCCTTTAGCATTTTCCGCTTCTCTGAATCGTACGTGGCATGCACATATATGTTGAAAAGAGCGTCCCAGGTTTCATCAGACCGGCCAGCCACTGTAAATACAGTCTGCTGCAGATCACCGGGAATCCTATGACAATAAATACAAAAGAAACAGACTTTTACTTTTGCTACTCAATTCTAATTTTCTGATTCCATTAGGTCCCATCACCTTCCATAGAGATTGAAAATGTGGCGTAAAACCGCAAAGGATTCTGGGTACGAGTGGCAAGCGGTACTAGCACACGCAGGCTTTCACATGAAAACAGTCACAGTGATAAAAAGAAACAGAAAGAATGGCAAGATGCTGTTGTATTATTAACTGCAATAGCCGGTCGCATAACAGCCACGGGAAGCCGACGGGTAAAGAGATCAGTTGTTATCGGATTACGTTGTGGAAGAGAAATTGTTTAAGCCATGTTTCCGAAGTAACAAAGAGCCGACGGATGACCTGGATTGCAGCCATTCGAAGACCTAATATAATGTCCCAGAACACTCCAGTTCACATGTTAGTCTGCTCCAAGCATTTCCATAAAGGTAAGTCTTCTGTTTAACATGATTGTTGATGTAGGTTACAAATAAGTCTTATATTGATTTGAAATGAATTCGTTGCGCTATGCTGCTTTGTTCACTGTGGCTTTGCGGGCCAATGTTTGTTGTGTTTTGTAGGAAAACCAGCCTACAAAATGCTGGAATGCAGACTGGGCACCCTCTCTCAACCTGGGTCATACTGAGTTTAAAGCTGCTACCACAGCGGGATTTGATCGGTTAAGAGAGAGAGAGCTCAAAACAGCCATGAAAAGTCCCACATATATGTGCCCAAGTGTTGTATTGAAGCAATCAAGTGATGAATAACTGTTTTCCAATATGTTGTTTTAATATGTTTTTTTGGCATTGTTGATTTGTTTTTCACCGAAGCAGCTAATAAAGCATGATGGAATACAATGTTGCGTCTTTCCTGTAAGATTCTATAATAGAATGAAACAATAATGCCAGTTATAAATAGAGACAATGAATTGAATGAATTCTTATTTTATTTCTATTAGATCTGAAAATGTTGTGTAATACTACAACCTGAAATGACAAATAGATTGCATTGGCCAGGAGATAAAGAAAAAAATGTAACAACAGCTGTGAAATGGAATAGTCCAAATCACCAAAGTAAACTGGACCTGGGCTTGTTGTAGGGATCTGAAATGTTTGTTGTGCTCTGGACGTACCTGAGGGTACCATTTGACTCCATGTACTTTTTGAACAGGGACGTGGCCTGCTGGGTGCAGTTTTCATCATTCAGATTACAGGCCATCTCCAGCAGAGCAGAGCGCAGCTCCTGTTTGGACACATTCTCTTCTTCTTCCCATGTTTGTTTGGCCGTCAGATTACGAAATTTGCTCATAATAAAACTCTGTCAAAAAACAAACAAACAAAACAAACCCCAAAACAAAACACATTCATTAGCATGATAAAGCCAAAACGCAGATGAACTAGGAAAAAGACATGCTCTGACCTTATCAAAGATACGTTATGTGTTAAGTGTCAAATCAAAGTCTGGTTTTTTTTAGCAAATTAAAGTTTTATCACGTAATATGACGTAAAAAAAAAAAGAAAAGAAGTAATGTTAAAAGATGTAGATTAATAGTGAAATTAAAGAACGTCATACTGGCCGTTTTGTGAAATGTAACAATTGTGTCAATCGTGTTTACTGTTGAAGTCACTGCTGCTAGAAGAAGCAGGAGGAATTGTAAAGTGTACAGGGCTATACTCTCTGCTCAGATCCAGAGAAATGCCGCAAAACTGATCAGAAAACTCTTAACAGTATAAATGGATGACAAACCAAAGTACATTGCAAAATCAGTCCAAGAAAAACGAGACATTCTTCAATGGCCAAGACATTCACCTGATCTCAATCAAATAGAGCAACTTTTCAGTCAAACTGAAAAAGAAGACAGAGAGACCCACAAATAAGCAGCGGCTGAAGGTGGCTGCAGTAAAGGCTTAGCAGAACATCTTAAGGGAGAAAACACACCAACTGGGGATACCTGTGAGTCCTAGACTTCAGGCAAGACTGCAAAGGACTTTTAAGCCAGGTATTGAAAACTACCCTAGATACAGCTAATGTAAAGTTTTTTATTAAACCCCCTGAATTAAAGATTCAAGTCTGCACTTCAATCACATCTTGGCAGTTTGATTTAAAATCCATTGTTTTGGAGTCAGAAGCAAAACTTTAAAAATTCTGTCTTTACTGAAAATCTAATTTCTTGGGTGTGAGTTCAATACCTTCATGCGGGATGCAAGATTAGACTCCTGTCTTTTTTCAAGCTGTCGGTAGATATTATTGAGCTGTAAAAGGGCCTCTGTCACAGGAGAAGTTTCAGTGTCCGCTGAGACATATTTCAGTAGATTTATGACCTGCAGGAAGGACACACGTCCCAATCTAGTGACGACACGGGACAAACGAGGAACAGCGGAGCATCAAAATGAAGCAGAAGAAATTAAAAAAAAGACTTTCATCACTAAATACAATTAAAAGACTTTGATACCTGGAGAGAGCAAAGATGTTATGTATAAGTGAAGCACGGTCCTCGTGTGTAAGAACGCCAACATTTGAGCTCAAAGCTTGAGCAAGAGCAGACCAGCCATCCTTTCCGTAGTCCACTATGTAGAAGCCTGTATTTTTGTAGTTCAACTTCAGCCAAGTTACATTTTTTGACAGCTTAAATGTGTCTGAAAATACAAAAAAAACAAACAAACCCCAAAACAAAACAAATAAACACATGAATACACTTAAAACTTTTCATTCGAGAGCAGTTCAGCCAAGGACAATTAGAATAGGTTTCTATTTTAGTCTTTTACCTGATTTATTTTTCAGAGTGAAAACCTGTCTGCACTCAGGGGCCAAACTACAGCTGTCGTTCACGTACGTCACTGGAATATGCCACAAGCTAAAGAGAGTGCACACTACAGTTAGCACGGTGGTGTCCTTATGATTTATGTGTGTCTGTCTGTCTGTGTGGTAATGTGTAACCCACCTTGACGTATGCGTGGTATTGTCAGATGTGAGCAAGAAGTGCTCCTGTGCGAGTGTCACCTGGTTTCCCATGAGGTTCACAGTGACCAGTGGGAAGCCTTTCTGTGATGTCCACGATGTCATCATCTGCGATACATTCATGTGGTGCGTGGACTTATCGGTCTGAGGATAGGAAGGGGAATATTTGATCTGTGTGTGCAGCCAAATGTCACGCTTTCATTTTTTCTCCACACATGAGAATTAGTGTAGAAGGGGACTCATATTTTGCAGCTATAGTCTCAAAATTTGTGCAAACAATTACAATTTCTAGTATCCAAATGGCAACAAAGTGTACACTACTCACAGAATCTATCCAAAAAGATCTATTTGATGAACAGATCAAAGATAAACTCTAAACTATGAGAGACTTGTTGATCAAGTTGTTAGCATTGTGGCAGACAATAAGATGACTAAGCAAATGAAAGCATCAACTTTAACTGAGGTCATTAGGTTGAAACACTCTTGTCACAATTATATAGTCTTTGCATCTGTCTTGTGCTCTGCCATCAAAAGGGAATAAGCAAGAGAACAAGCAAGGGAACCATTCTATGTAGAGCATATTAGCTACATTTGAATTATAGGTTGACTGCAATACCTCAGCAAAGAGTAAACAGAATAAAAATATCTATTTAAAAAAAGAAGTTCTAAATAATCTCCATTATGAGACTATTTACCAAGTTAGAAAACAAGGTAATATAACATATCTATATTTAACAGGACTATTTTCAAAAGGCCTTATAAGAGCCTACTCAGGACTCATCTGTAATCATCTGTATCTTGCATAGTTGCAATGCTATCAACTAACAAAATCTTTCCTTATATGCAAAGACATAAACAGTGTAAGTACAGATAAAGCACTTGTAGTTGCTGCTACAGTAGATTAGAGCCCATCAGGCATTATCTATTTACTAGTTTGATATCAGCAAGTATAATGTTGATAGATGACAAGTAAAAAAAAAAAAAAGTAAAGCAGGGACAGGAGAAACACTCTTTAACCAGGTTATGAGTGTTGGTGTTACATAGTTTGTTCACCAGAGGGCACTATGCATCTTCCTTTTTGGTAACATGGGTGTTTGGAACTAGGATACATCCTGGTGACTAATTTTCTAGCCGTTTAAATGAGAGAGAAAAACTTTGTTTACTCAACGAGCCCAAAGGTCAGAACCTTCTTACAAATATTTCATTTGTATTTTAAGGGCAGAATGAACCCATTAATCATATTTCTTATTAGACAATCATGTTTTAAATGTTGCTTAAAGGTGCGGCACTTTACATTCTGTATAATGTTGTAAATATGCACAATATCAGATTAACTTACAGCCTTTGGCTAGCCATAGCAGAACTAGCAGCAGTAGCCTCAGTTTCTTCCTGTCTAGCTTCTACACTCCAGTTTACTCCAGTTTATTCTGGCAAAACCAACCTACGGCTGCTCATGCTTTACTATAAAGTACTACAGATAAGCGCAGGCAGCACTCTGGCAGCCATCTGTTTTACTTTCCCCTGGTTCATTTACAATTTCCTTTCACGGACACACAGAGAGGTGTGTGCAGCCAACTCTAAAGGCTGCAGTCTGACAGTGCCCAGCGGTTGTGTAACATCTTTGACAATATCTTACGTTTAAAAAAATAAGAATGCTACATATAACCAACTAATATTTCTAGCAGCAACGTTTGAACTTCTAGCCAATTAGTCATGCACATCTCTTAACACAACAACCAGCTGATCCAAGCAGATTTAGAGAGAGTGTAAATGAGTAAATAAATAGGTGTTGTGTGACAGAAAGAAAAAAAATATTGATTTTTAAATCAACAAATATTGGTATTGGTCTTAAAAATACTGTATTGGTCAAGCTCTATGGTTAATCTTACCAAGGCTACATTTTGCCACAATCCTACTTCACAAAGGGGAAAAAAATAACCAGCCACTGTGTCAGTAAAAACACACATATGCATGAACATAAAAAACACACCACTAATACCTGTGTGAGGCTGTTCCAGAGGTCATCAGTGTCTGTATTTAATCCACTGAACTGTTTGAGATATTCAATGATACCCTTTCTGAACTGTTGATCTCCGGAGAAGGAAGCATTCAGCATTAGAAGAATGGATGCACCCTGGAAGACAAAGAATAATAAACTAGCAATAAACTATCAAGAATTCATGTGAGGGTCACTATTTCCTTAAATGAACAGCTAGAAATCAAAGTTAAGTGAATTAATGAACAGCATGTGATGTACTTATAAGTCAGAGTTTACCTTTTCATAAGAGACAGAGTCAAACATCTCCTCTACTTGTTCTGTTGTATTAACGTCTGTCGACACAGCGTGCGAGGAGTTTAGTGCATCTTTGTCTAGGGCTCTGAACCGCACTGAGAGGAATAAATTACCCTGCAAACAAACAGGGCATACTGCATATGTAGGAGGACATAACATTATCTGATTTAAAACTATGAAATAATTTGGCAAGCTATACGGCAGAACGTACAGTTTCCAGGTCGGGCGACACTTCCTGCAGTGACATGTACTCCATGTAAGTGGCAAAGCCTTCGTTGAGCCACAGGTCATTCCACCATCTCATAGTCACCAGGTTTCCAAACCACTGTAAAACAAAAAAGAACAAAAAAACATTGGACATGTGAACATATTCACTGTTTCTTTTCACAGATACAAACACAAACAAAAGTACCTGATGAGCAAGCTCATGTGCTATGACAGAAGCCACCACTTGTTTTTCCAGGAGAGAAGACTCTTTGCCCACTAACAAAGTGGTTTCCCGAAAAGTGATTAGCCCCCAGTTCTCCATGGCTCCTGCCAGGAAGTCAGGAATAGCTACCAAGTCTGACACCAGAGAAAGACAGCATATGGGGTTGTGTAAAAACGGGACAGGGGGAGAACAGTTACACAAGGATAGAGCACAGAGTGTGTATAATTAAATATCCATTGGTTTACTCACCTAGTTTTTTGAGAGGGTAATTAATGTCAAAGAAGTTATTGTAAAACTCCAGCAGTTTAGAGGTTATGGTCAGAGCATACTCAGTGTGCCCATTTTTCTCTGGTACAGAGTAGACTGACACCTAACACAAACAATAAAAGGTATTTATATGTATACACATATATATAGTTTATCAACAACAGCACAGCCTCACTGAAAAATACATTTAAAAAAATATTTGCAGAGGCTGAACTGAAACAGAAAAATATTTCTCTGCTAGACCTACCTGGGTTTCTGAAACATTTTTGGTGTTAGGGGTGAAGTCAGCAACGATGAAGGCCACCAGGTAAGTGCTCATGTTAACACTGGTCTTTTCAAACTCATCCTGCACAAGGCCATTGGAGAGATTTGTGGATTTTGCCTGAAATACACAAAACAAGGATGTATTGAAGTCCTCTGCAATAAATCAGTATTGTTGACTTATTGTGGATGAATACAGCAGTGCAGCACACCATCTGGTAGTATTGACTGTACCCCCACCGTGACCTGAGAAGCCATAGTGGTTACAAGAATTACAAAGTCTTCAGGACAGGATATTATTATAATTATGCTTTGTAAACTGTGGTTACATAGTGACAAAGCACAATTGTAAGTTTACTGCAACTGACAGTATCTTAAAAAATCGAAACTCTGTGAACTCTATAATACAGTGGACAAACCCATCATGTAAGCCTCCTCAGAAGAAAGCATATTTCATTTTGTACATCCAAGCCGGTATGTAACAGCTGGTATTAATTTAAAATTGTCACCATTCAGCATCTGTACAAAAAAAGAAGAATCACTTCTTCAAAAGCCAAACCTCTATTAGGATGTTAAACTCTCATGCTACTGTAACCAAATGTAATTCAAACCTTGTGTCAGTTTTCATACATTTAAATCTAGTCGGATACTGCCAAAAATAACAAATGAACAAGTGAATAAAAATAATTCAACCACATATGAATGAAGCCTTATAAAACACTGAGTAGAATGTTTCAAGCATTAGTATCATAATGCAAAACTCGTTCATTTTAAATTACCTTGGGCATGTTTGAAAGAGTCATGTAGGTTTTTTTTCTGCTGATTTTAATCAGGAATGTCGCTTTGAAAGCTGGTTCATCAAAACAAGGGAAGGCTTTCCTGGCCGACAGCGGCTCAAACTGTGTTGCTGCTAGGACCCTGGGGAAAAGAGGGGGTGAACATGACCATGCTGGAAATGTTTAAACTCCATAAAACATTTTCTTTCTGTATTTGTTATTTTTAAAGCACTCATTTGTTAGACTGTGGCGATGAGATGAGCTGACTCCATAGTCTGTACTTATGGCAGAACCAATTCAATTGTTCCTATATAGCACCAATTCACAACAATAGTTGCCTTAATGTGAAGTATATTTTAAGTGTAAGACCCTACAGTATTAGAAAAAAAACTCCAACAAGACATCCCCGTGTGAGCAAACACGTGACAACAGTAGGAAAGAAAAAAACCCTTTTAACAGGAAGAAACCTCCAGCAGAACCAGGCTCGGGAAATGACAACTATCTGCCAGTTGAGAGTGAAGGGAAAGGGTAGACAGCAGAGAGAAACAGGTCAAAAGGAAAACTATAAGAGAAAAGGCAGGAGTTTTATAAGTACTAATGATTAAATGCACTAGTAGTGTATAAACACACAGGGAGTGAAAAGAAATGAGTGAAGATGAACTTGTCAGTGCATCATGGGAAGCCCCCAGTAGCCTACGCTTAGTACAGTATGAGTCAGGGTCATTAGACCCAGGCTTGACTGTAATCTTCATCAAAAAAGAAAGCTTTGAACCTAATCTTAAAACGTAAAAGTAGAGTGGGAGAAGCCGTCTGTCTCTTCAAGTCCAAACTGGGTGCTGGTTCCAAAATACACGGACCTGATCGATGAAGCCTCCGATTCTACTTTTAAAAACTGTAGGAACCAAAATTAAACCTTGAATCTGAGAGCAAAGTGCTCTAATGAGGTGATATGGTCCTAAGAGGTCTTAAAGATAAGGTGGGACCTGATTATTCAAGGTTTTGTATATAAGGAGAAAAATTTAAAATTAAATTCTGGTGCCAATAAGAGAAATACGGTCTTTCTTTCTAGTCTCACAGCAGCATTTAGAATCAAATGAAGGGTTTTCGTGGACTTTTAAGGACAGCCTGATAACAATGCATTACAACAGTCCAGCCAGAAGTAATAAATGCATAAACTAGTTTTTCAGCATCATTCTGACAGGATGATTCTAATTTTAAAGATCTTGTGCACATGAATGAAGGCAGTCCTATATATTTGCTTGATGTGCACGCTGAAGGACATATCCTGGTCAAAATGACTCCAAGATGGCCTCATAGTGTTACTAAAGGTAACACTATGAGGCCATCTGAAGTAAATATCCTGTTAGATTTTTAGGGCTGAGTACAATAACCTCAGTTACATCTGAATTTAGAAGTAATTTAGGCCTTTATGTGTTTATGACGTCCCTGTAATTTAACTAGTTGATTTGCATGACCTGGCTTCATGGATAAATAACGCTGTGCATCATCTGCATAGCAATGAAACTGTATGCAGTGTTTTGTTATAAGGTTGCCTAAATGAAGCAAGTATAAAGTAAAAAGTATTGGTCCCAGCACAGAACTCCACGACTAACTAATTGGAAATCTATCCAACA